TACTAATGTATAGATACTGTACTTCCATAGTCTGAATTATTTATCATATATATTTATTATTTATATTATACTATATTATAATTAGTTTTAATTATTATATATTATATTTTATGCATATATGATATATATTATTTATATTTCTCATATATTCACAGCGTTCTTACCTCAACAGTGCAATATATTTATTCTACCGTTTGGCTTATTGCTAACTGTATACACGTCCTACTGGCTCCTTTTGTAAATATATTTATATATTCCTATTTGTCTTTTTATGCTTGTGTTTTGCACCACTGGAGTTGTAAGCGTTCTGTTCTGTTCTATTCCGTTCTGTTCTGTTCTGTTCTGTTCTCTTCTGTTCTGTTCTGTTCTAATGTATGATTAAATGCGTCTCACCTCATTTTTCTAGACAAAATGAGTGCAGATCTACTCACACAGCTGTTGGCCTCTGAAGGTAAGCGCACCTTTTCCTGTTTTCATTTCTAACTGCAGCCTGATAGCATTTCTTTTAATCACACGCTCATCTCTGCTCCTCAGTCTTCTCCCCGCTCCTCCGTCTCTCCCCGCCGCCGTCCGACCGCGATTACTTCTGCAACCTGGACGAGAGCGAAGGCGTCTGCGACCTCTTTGACGTCCCCATGCTCAACGTTTGACCGCCGACTCCTGCGTTTCGTCACAAGATGTGTCTTTATAAATAGTTGTTCTGTTTTAACAAATAATAAAGTTATGATTTTTTTCTAAACAATTGCGTCCATTTCATTAAGATACAGAAACATATTAGGAGAAACCTGCCTGGAAGCACAATCTAATACCACAAACAACAGCCTCAGACGGATCTGACTGTGTCTTTAACTCGATTAATGATGCAGTGGACGGGATTACAATATGAGTTTAAACTCTGGGGCCTCGTATGATCCCCGTTTTCAGGTTTGTGCTGCTATTTTCTCAAAGCGGTGATTTAAAAATACATGCAAAACACACTGGTGCAAGTTCAGTTTTCACAACAGTCTATGGGGCTTCTCCTAATACATCAACAGCTAAACTAATAAGAGTGCCATTAAGTTGACATGCATTTGATCATAAACCCAGATATTGAAGTGTTGGTGCTCGGAGAGAAGTCCGAGATCACCAAAGTCCATTTCTGGGAACGATATCAACACTTTTATTCTGATCTATGAGGCATTTGCACAGATATTTGACAGACACCGTCAAGGCCAAAATAAAAAAAATCTAGCTGACTGAGCACCTCACCTGTTTTACTGCTCGTTGTCAAGCCTGTCAGGTGCATTAGAAATGATCAGTTGTCCTGAAACCTCTAGACAGGGGCTGCTCTGCAAATATACCTTTAAGCCTTACATGTGTGTTTTTCTGCAACAGCAATCTGGATTTATTCAGTCCTGCACAGCCTTCAGCTATAAATAGGCTTTCTTATCAGCTGAGCCCTTCACACCCACTTTTTGTTGATATTAGATGCCTTTATGAAGGAAATTATCAGGAACCTTTAGAGGGAAAATCACTTTTTTTATGCACATGAAACATAAGAAACAACAAATGCTTCTTTGTGTGTGAAAGCACGTTGATCTTTTTACATGATCTCATTCATTTTATGTTTCTTATGGCTGCCCACAGGGTGAAAAAAGTGGGATGATACACCAGTAATATTCATGCAAACCTCTACATTTTGCCCAACTACAGCAAATGAGACGTTACAAGGAAACACACAAGCGTCTGTAAATCTATTTTCACAGGCTGAGGAGTGTTTTCTGTGAACAGTGAATCCACTAAAGCTTGTTCTACAGACTTCTCCTTTGGGCAAAATGTGGCAATAAGCTGCAGCGCTGCTCTGATACGGCCACACTGCAGCGTATGTCTGTAGTCCAGCACACTGAGCTGGATGGAGAGAGTGGAGGAGAGGAACTGCTTTTAGCTGGAGAGGGATAAAGATCCACAGCTTTCAGGAAATCACAACTTAGAGAAGGTCAAGGCTGAAGTGAAGAACTGGGAAAAGGAGATGAGGGTCGTCACCGAGCAGAGATCAGGGTGAGGTTACTGTAGGTCACGTTCAGCTGCTGGAGGTTCTGAAAGTCAGCTATCAAGGCTTTTCTAAGTCAAAGGCTCAGTCAGTAGATGCCACCTTTTCACTCATCCTTTGCATCAGTTGTGTATCAATCATTTATTTAGTGATGGATGTAGGATGATCCTTCAACGTTAAAATTCAGGAAAAATTATGTGTTTGCATCAAGAACATCAGAATCGTAGTTTGTCATCACTCCTTCAGATCACTTGTTATAATAATGATAATAATCCATTTCATTTTAGAAGCACCTTGCTGGACACCCAAGGACAGAAAAACAGAAAATAAAATACAAAATACTTGTGATTCATCACTGTTAATATATTATTAAATAACTAGACCAAGTAAAGAGCCAGAATTTGCGGATAATTTTCTGTTGCTGAACTATTTGTTGCAGCACTCGCTTTGATCTGTATAGATTTTTTTTACATGGTGTGTTTTTATTCTCATTTTACAAAATAAATTAAAGCCATGACGACGAAACAGAAAGAAGACGAAAGATGAAAAAAGACCTGGTCCCTTTTTTTTAAACAGGATAACAAACGTCTTGTTGAGACGATCTCTAAGCCTGAGAAAGTTGAGAAGAAAGTTGAAAACTGCAGCAACTTTTTTTTCCAACACTGTTTCAGCAGGTGTGTTTCTAGTTTTACATCAATAGTAGAAGTACTGAAATAAATACTACCTACCTATTAATATAGGAAACATGAACTGCATATGAGAATTGTCACATCCATCTTTTGTATACAGTCTAAAGGTTTTAAATAAATCGTGTTAATCTCCATAATAATATAAATGATGTAGCATTGCAGCCTTAGTATTTAATTTAATCAGGTATATTTGTATTTTATGTGATTTTACTCAGAGTCACATCATAAATTACACTGTAGG